AGCCGGAATTCTTCCAGCTTTTTTCGACAAGTGTGCCTGTCAGCACTGATGCCGCAAGTTACTCCGCTGGAAAGGACACCTAACATGAAACTTTTGTAAGAGAGCATGCTTACTTATGCAAATGCACTTCTTTTGTCTGGCCCATACGATGAACGCGATCACGGGCTTGTAGCTCCAGTGCTGGATTCCAGTGGAGGTCCATTAGAATCAAATGATTCCCTGCAAAAGTTGGTTGTACGATGAGAATTTTCAGGTCAAAGTGCTTGTTCTAGCTGAGGCCTCGGGGCACATCAGTGGATTTTGGTCACGACCCCCCTCCTATCCGATCCCATGACCTGTTGCGTGGTAAACGCGGCTCCATAACTCCGTTCAGAGAATCGCTTTGCAAATTTTGAAGGCAGATTCAAGATCAGCGTCCAAAACCACGTCTAGTGATCTACATCTCATCACAAATGGCCACTTCGACCTGACGACCTTCCCTAGTCAGACCAAATACGACCCCTTCGCCCTAACCCAGCGACCCAATCACCTCCTGCTGGGTTGTCCCCATCGAAGATGTGCCCTGTGAAGGCTATAACAAAAGGAAATTTACAACTCACCACCAGTAAGATTGAGTCCCACACCACCAGCTGTGATAGAAATCAACATTACATTAACTCCACTGCCATTTTCGTTGAAACTGTTCACACGATCTTGTCTAAAGCAAACGACCTTTGCGGTAACATTCCAAAAGATGTTAAAGGACTAGGGAGGACCTTTCCAAGGGAAGAACTTCACCGCTAATCGTTGAGCAGTCGGCAATATCAGGGAAACGTTTTTTGATATGCTTCTCGAGGATCTTCAAAAAGGAGGTCCACTGTGAAACAATGACACTGCAATATTACTTTTATTACAACTACCACAAGGGCACTAGTACAGCCTACTGGCTCGCGTAATCATTACTAACAGCTTGCAAATTGCGATCCCCTCAAAACTCCTCCTCTGCTACGATGCTCCTCCCCTTTCCCATCCTACCTACCATCTTCCTAGACTCTCCCACTTCCTACCACTTTTCCGCAGTTGAATTTTCCCCCATAAAGAAATTGCCGTTTGTCGAGCGGGAGGGGCTTAGAGAAGCAGCGTTCAAAAAAGGGAAACCCGGGGAAGTTAGAAGAAAACTCATTAACCGAAAACATTTTTTCGAAGGCAAATACGACCCCCTCCGCCTGGCGACCAACTATAATCCCGTTCGCAGGGGATCTCTAAAGAACGACGTGCGCTGCTGATTACGCTTAGCCACAGTT